AATATCCATAATCTTTTAATTTTTTACAATATGTTTGTTATCAACATGAGTAAAGTTGGACCTACAAACAAGCCTCAGGAACATAACTCGTTCGTAAGTAGAGCAGCGCCTGTACTGTAGTAATAATTTATCTTTGCTAAATTTATTTTATTCATAGCAATTTACAGTCACAAATCACAGAGAAGCACCCATTTGGTATCTTTGATATCTTATGACATTTAGATCAGGTCCTTGTAAGAATAGATCAGGGGAGATAACTTGTGATGTCAGTGTGAATCTCAGTTCATATAAGGTCAGATTAAGGTCACATGGTTACCTCATACAGTATAGTCTTCATTTACGCGGTCAATTGAACCCGTGGAGGTCCGCGTAAAACGAGAAACGCGTAAACGAAATAACAGAGCATATGGGATTAATTGAAATAGAGACTGGGCTGACCCCCAAACTACACTTTTTCCGACGCAATACGTACGTTGTAGTAAAAATAACATCTTAATTTTATGATGGTATGCACACACAATTAATATTTAAGAGAAATATCAATAATATTAGGTTTTTTAACACTTACGTAAGTAGAAAAGATGGCTGGGCACACGGGGATGGGGGGTTGGTTCCGAGGCAGAGGGCATATTATTGGCCCTCACCTGTATCACTTGTATCAATTGTATCACTATCCACCACAGAGGCTTGCAGGGCCTCTTTGTCAAACCCCTCAAAGTCCATATCCTCACTATCACTGACTTGGGCCGGCTGTGGTGGGTGGCGGGTGAAAAACTCGGTAATGTTTTGTTGACTGGGCGACCTTGTGCGCACCCTGCCCGCGCCGCTTCCCGCGTAAATGATGGAATGAACCGTGTAAATAAAAATTGTCGGTCTGGCAAAGTGCTGCGTAAATGACCAAATGCGTAAACCAAGTCCACGTAAATCGAGACTATACTGTATTTGACCTGCCTCCTAATGTGGAGATTCTGACCTGGCTGACCTGTGACAATATGTTCTCGTATCAGCATTGACCAGTACTGTATATATATATACAGGGTGTCCCATAAGTTTCCATACAACGTATCACCAACGCCATTACAAGCATAACTCCAGCTGTGCTTGAACGTGTTCTTCAGCAGTGGAGGACACGCATTGAAGAGTGTTTTCAACAGAATGGTAGTCATGTAGAGCATATTATATAAATAAAAATGGATTTTCATATAAAATTTATTTTTCCTATGTATGAAAATTTATGGGACACCCTGTATATATATATATATATATATATATATATATATATATATATATATATATATATATATATATATATATATATATATATACGCGGTGCCTTGCCAAAGCTGAACTTTCACTTAACGTGGATTTTTCCACAGCAACGCGGTGAGTGTCCGGCTCGAGAGCTATTTTTAGATTCGCACCACCCCCCACCCGCCACCCTGCCTGACTGCCTGTTTTAGCTCATAAAATTCATACAAATTACCCAGCCAGAATATAGTTTACATTGCTGGAATTCTTATAATTTGGTGATCATTTTGAATATAAACAACATATTTTTTGCATTAAACATACAATTTTTAGATAAAATGTTTAATCTGAGTAAGTATGTTATCTTTTGTCCAAAATATATGACATTTATATTCAAAATATTCCTGGTCTTACAAGGAATCCAGCAATGTCAATTATATTATCCTAACTTTAGTTTGAGGTATTATTTATTAAAATTTAGTGGTTATCCCACACATCTCCTTGGGACGGTTGGTGGGGGGTGGGGGGGAGGGAGGGACCAACCGACCGACCATCTGTTACCCGGTGAAGAATTATTTTTTTTTAACTGAAGATATTTGTTTTAGCTCATAAAATTCATACAAATTACCCGGTCAGAATATAATTTACATTGCTGGAATTCTTATAATTTGGTGATCATTTTGAATATAAACAACATATTTTTTGCATTAAACATACAATTTTAGATAAAATGTTTAATCTGAGTAAGTATGTTATCTTTTGTCCAAAATATATGACATTTATATTCAAAATATTCCTGGTCTTACAAGGAATCCAGCAATGTCAATTATATTATCCTAACTTTAATCTGAGGTATTATTTAATACTGAATGGAGGATTGGTGGGGGGTGGGGGGAGGGTTGGGACTGACCGCGCGGTTGGAAGAGGGGGGGAGGCAAGGTGGGGTACTTTGATTGACAGATAGTGTTGAAGAATATATTTTTTTTTTTATTAACTGTAGATATTTGTTTTAGCTCATAAAATTCATACAAATTATCCGGCCAGAATATAATTTACATTGCTGGAATTCTTATAATTTGGTGATCATTTTGAATATAAACAACATATTTTTTGCATTAAACATACAATTTTTAGATAAAATGTTTAATCTGAGTAAGTATGTTATCTTTTGTGAAAAATATATGACATTTATATTCAAAATATTCCTGGTCTTACAAGGAATCCAGCAATGTCAATTATATTTTCCTAACTTTAGTTTGAGGTTATCCCACACATCTCCTTGGGACGGTTGGTGGGGGGTGGGGGGGGGGAGGGAGGGACCGACCGACCATCTGTTAGCTGGCTGTGTACTGTAGTGTGAGAGGGGGAGGGAGTTGAGTCCATTATTTGAATGGACATTAACTTGGCGACTGTATTTCTCTTAAGTATTAATTGTGTGCATGTACCATCATAAAATTAAGATGTTATTTTTACTACAACATAGTTATTTGTCGTCAAAAAGTGGAGTTTGGGGGTCGGGCTGGGTTCTATTGGAATTAATCCCATATGTTCTGTTATTCACTTAACGCGGTTTTCACTTAACGCGGGACCCTCTGGGTTCAATTGACCGCGTTAAGTGGGGTACCACTGTATATATATATATATATATATATATATATATATATATATATATATATATATATATATATATATATATATATATATATATATATATATATATATATATATATATATATATATATATATATATATATATATATATATATACTGTACTGTAATGAGATAAAATACTCTATACCTGTACCTTATGATAATTACCGGTACTGGTACTGTACATGCATTTCTTTTATTATTATTATTATTAAAAAGAAAATTTCTGTATGCAAGATTGATCATACTATACTGTATGTAACTACAGTACCGTACAGTAAATAAAAAAAAATGTAGAAAATTACATATATTTACCCGCATTTACGTGTTGTAAAATAACCATAATGTACCATAGAGCTCACAGGTGGGGTATAGTTGGATATATGGTATCCCCGCTCGGCCCGGGAATTACTTGGCACTAATTTTAAATAGGAATTATAAGAGAGTATCCATAAAGTTGGAAATTCCTAACCGGAGTCATCCATAACCTGGGGAGTGTCTGTACTGTAATACTCACTGTAGACTGTTCCTGTATACGGTCAGCCCTGGGAGAAGAAGTATCAAATCCTCCTTGACCATGGGAACGGAAGTGCTATGGCACCTCTGTCCAGACCATCTCACACGAGAACAGGAGATAGAACAAGTACTGAGAAACACCTCCCTCATCGATATCACATTGGGAAGCTGGAGCAACATGGCAAATCTTGCAGGAGGTAGTCTTGAGTCCTGGACACCACAGTCAGCCCTCTGCTTGTTACTGGACAATTGCAAAAATGTTGTATGAACAGATCAAGGTGGCATTCAAGACTGCTTGGGGCTCATACATTGTTTCTGGTATCTTTGGACACTGGCTTGCTCCCAAGCTTTTTGAAGGCTCTTGCATTTTCAGTAAAGTAAAGAATGTATGTTTAGATGATGAAACTGATCATCACACAGGTGTTTCTTCAAGAATCATTAGCGCTTGAAGGTGCCAGATGTTTCTTGGTTATTTGTGAAATTGTTAGGTGTTCCTTGAAGTTATTAATGCAGGAAGGTGGCATGTGTTCTTATGTTTTTTTTAATACAGTGCAAGAAGGTGACAGATGTTTCTTCATGCCGTTATCACTTAAAGGTGGCAGTTGTTTCTTCAAGAATCTTTGATACTTGAAGGCAGCAGTTGTTTTTCACGAATTAACAGAACTAAGATGGCAGATGTATCTTAAAGTCATTAACACATTAAGGGGGCTGATATTTCCTCATATTATTGACATGAGGTGACTGAAGTACAGTACTGTACAGGTATATGGGAATGATAATACAGTATAGCCAGTCCTCGACTTACGATGGGGTTAGGGACCGACGAACAGGTCGTAAGTCGAAAATGCAAAAATAATACATAGAAAATCTAAAATGGGTGTCTCTTTTTCTTCTCAGCACCGCGAGAACTCTCACTTTTACGCTTGCCAGCCATTTTAAAGGGTATTACAAACGAAAATTTTGTCAGTACACAGCGCGATCACTAACGTCGGGACTCTAAAATACGTAATTTGAAAAATATTTTATACGACTGCGGGGGTCGTATGTCCGGGTGGTCGTAAGTTGAGTAGGTCGTAAGTCGAGGAGTACCTGTACTGTGTAGTGTATAATACATGAAAACATCCATTCAATGGAAAGGATCTTCCAGAACCTGTACACACTGTATTGTGCTTTAATACAAGTCTCTCTTCTTCCATATCTTGATAAAGCAAATATCAGTTAAATAAAATACAATATCGGGACATAGATAGGTATAGACAGGATTTTATAGTCATAATTCTGCTACATATCATATACCTGTATTTTGTGACACTTTACGTAAGACTTTGATGATGTACCTGACCATATTCAAATAATTTCTGTTTCTTGTAAGGCAGGAAATCCAGTAACTTGCACTATATATATATATATATATATATATATATATATATATATATATATATATATTGTTTACTTATAGTTGTTATCATCTTGTGTCATTGTTTTCAAAAAGGGTGAATACATTTACAGTTATTATATGTGATATAATGTCCTGTCATTTAAATTTTTACACTGATTCTAAAGAAAATTTCCACTCCCAACCAAAGTGCCTATGCAGAGGTGGTTCAGGAAATGAGAAGTGAAGTATATGAGGCCCAAGTCTAGTATGATGGCCCAGGAACCAAACAGTTAATAAAATACAGTGCATCCAAAACAGAACTGATATTACTACAGTCAACTGGGCTCTATAAACCTAAAACTCTCTTAAAAGTGGCCAGCAAAGGCGCAACTGTACTGAAACAATGGCAGCTCAGACACAGACGGCCGGAGCAAATGATAGTCCTTCCAGGCGCATTGTTACCAAAACTGTGAAAACCATCGTGCCTGCCCCTGAAGACTGTGAATACACACAGTTTTACTGGTAAGTTATACATTATGTTAAAATTGTGGGAATGATTTGCATGGCAGAATGTTCTGCTTCGTGCAAGTTAAGAATGGTGTATGTTTGGAATGATAGGATGCAGTGAAAACTTTTTGAAGAGACAAAAACTGCTGTGTGACATGCTAGCAAAAGTTTTCTTATGTCTTGTTTTTCCTATTCAATATTTAAGAAATGGTGCATGATTCTTTTGAATAGTCAATCGTGTTAACTGTTCCATATTTTAGGAGAGTATGGATTTTTTAAAGGAGCTCGGGTGCAGGAACTCCGAGGGACTTGAGTCGGCGGAGGAGGTGGAGACGGAAACTGGAGGATTTGACAACTTCACTGACGTGTGGTTTCCAATTTAGTTTGTTGTCAATGGTGACGCCGAGGAGCTTCGTGGAATCTACAACCTGGAGTGTGTTCGGACCTAGAGTAATGGAAGGAGGTGGGACAATGTCGGAGGAGAGGTTGATGTGCATAACCATGGTCTTGGTATGGTTGATGGTGACATGGTTGTTGGTGGCTCAGTTTTGGAGACTGTTCAATAAATCCTGAAGGGCGGTATAGTTGGGAGCAGAATTGTTGACGCTGATCCCAATGGTGGAGTCGTCGACATATTTCCAGCGAGCAGGGGTTTCTCTTAGGGCATCATTGATGAGCATAAGGAAGCAGAGTGGTCCCATCTTGGTGCCTTGGAGGACGCCACAGGTGAGTGACTGAAAGGTGGAGACAGCTCCTCGGAAGCGTACAGCTTGGCGTCAGTCACTGAGGAAGTCTGTAAGCCATGGTATAAGACTTCTCCGAAGCCCAAGGTCAATAGCTTTGTTGATGATTATATTGTGGTCGACTAGGTCGAATGCTTTAGTGAAATCAATGAAGGCGACAACTACAGACGTTTTTCGTTTCTCGAGATGGCTTTATTCATGCCTTTATTCATGATTTTGAAATAATTTTTCATCTTCAAAAATTTTCAGCTTTTTAAGGTTCTTTTTATTGGATTGTGTTTATGTTGGAAAGATTTTAATGCTGTATTGCTTTCTTCCTTTTACTAAGTCTTGTTATATTAGATGAAACAGAATGTACCTGTACAATTCTCACTTTATTTCCTTTTCTATACCCCTGATGGATTTAGCAGGAGGATTTAGTGGTAGGTGTCTGTTTGTCAGTGTATCTTTAATCAACTACGTACTGTGATAAAGCACAACACATAAAATTTTTTGTCATTTTCCTCTGTATCATGAGCTCTCTAGCTTATTGTGATGTCTCTCACCACCTTGTACTGTATGTAAAATGTCTAAATACAGGTACAGTATTGTAGCTACTAAAGTGTTCTGTTTCTTTAATATATAGAGGCAATATTTTAAAGAAATTTAAGAATACTGTAGTAGGATTCATTGTTCTCATGTAGGCTACTAAGTAAGAAAAGTATTTTTTTCTGTAAACCTTTTATCATACAGTGAAACCCCCATATAATGGACTTAAATCTAACGGACTAACCTCTTACTTGTACTGTAGTCCATTAAATAGAGGTTTTACTGAATACTGTATTAATATAATTTTCATTTTTTTTTACTTTGATTGCTTAATACTGTACAAACATTAGATTTGGATATCATTAAAACCCTGGGATTAGAAATCTTTTTTTTTTTTTTTTTTACAAATTTTCTGACTATGCTGTACCTCCTATTATAACTCAAGTTTCTTTCTTTTACAGTGAAGAAAATGTCTGGCAGCTGTCTGAATATGTGCGTACTCATGAAGGACAGGAGTTGGTTAAGTGCTTTGTGGCATTCATCAGTAATGAAACCCGTTGTGTACCACTATGGAGACAACGAGTGGGCAAATCTGAGGATAAGCTAATAACATGGGTACGTTGATTTTAGTCTTGTCCTTGGTGAAATAAATGGAAATTAGTGTAACATATAGTATATAAGGTTTGTTAGAAGGAATTAGTTAGTCTTGATAAGGGATTTACTTAAAGAAATATTTTTGGTTTACGATACTGTACAGAATTGTGCTAATATTAGGTGGGTTCCAGTTTACTTAAAAAAAAATTGGTTTGTATAATACTGTATATGAAAATTTAATAAGGTTTAATGTGTTTAACATAGTAATTATGGCTTATCTCAAAAGTGCAATAAATTGATATACATGTACCCTCTATTAAGATATGAAGCCTAGACATTTGATACGAGGGCATAATTTTATATTTTCTATATACTATTAAATTCTTCAACCATTATAGAGTAACTGATCATCCATTTTCTTTTTGATAGAATTGATCCTTTTTTTTTTTTTTTTTTTATCTCCTTCATGGCATTATGGCAGTCACTACTCGGTTTAACTTAATTTAAAATGACGCATGGATTATTTTTTAAAGTTATTCATGAATGCTTTTTTCAAATCAACCAACCAATAGAGACTTTTATGGAAAATAATTTGGGCAAGGTAACATCACCCTAGTGGAAAGGAAGATATCGAAGTAATAATTAGGATTCAAGTATCTTTACCCTTCAGCACCCTGTCGTAGTTTTTTAAAATTTTACCCTATATTTCTATTTATGAATGTAAAACCCCACCACATTTTCTCATTATTTCTAGATTTCTCTGTAAAAACCTTTTCTACTGCATTGTTCCAGGATTATTCTAACATCTTCACATGTGTTGCGCCGAGTGAAAAGGTACACTCGCGTGCTGTGTGTGTGTTTGTGTGAGTGCTTGTCCTATTCTCCATATGGTTTCTTTTGTGTGGTATACTCTTGCTTGCTTACTGCAGTAGATGCATTTTGCTTTCAGCCTTGCAGTAATAGCTTGGGATTATTGATATTACTCTCCTTTGTTTTTCCGACCATAAGTTCAAGTGTTTAATCATGACACCATCCAGAATGATAATTTTATGTGCAGTATGCAGCAAAATGTTTATGCAAAGTAAGCTCATGCTGATTGTATTTATTTAACTGCTACAGCTGAGTGCAGTGTTTTATAGATGTTGGTGAGACTTTACCTTAGTCCTTGCCATGTCAATTTACTGTAGTTATTTTAGTACAATAATTTTGATTCTTTTCATGAAGCTGTGAAGATTCTTGTTGAGCTGTCATAGTTCTTGCAGTAACAAATTTATTCTATTTTATGAAGGTGTTGATTCTAATTATGACATTATGAGGATTCTGTGACATCTTTGTCTGCTATGTCATGTATTTTTTGCTGGATTCAAAGTCAAGTGTTTTATTAGGTGGTCTGCCTCTTGCAGTGCCTTCAGATGTTCATTATCAGTGTTTGCAACAAACTGGAATGTTCTGCATGTGTGCCTGGCTGTCAGTAAGGAAAGCATTTTTCATGTGGTTATGGTAAAAAAAGAGACTAAAAAGAATAAGGGGTGTTTATAGTACCAAGGAAAAAAAAAAGGAAACCTAGAGGGAGGACTAAGAGAAAGTAATAATTCAGATTCAGAGAATTTATCCAGATATACAAGCAGAGTACTGTACAGTACAGGTTGAACCTTTTTATCTGGCACCCTGTGGTCCGGCATGGTTTGTGATTGGCTGTTTTGGTATTACAGTACATGTAGTTTGCAAAACTGGTTGACAAGGGTGGTGTCCCTGTTCCCTGTGCTCTTACAGAGTTTGTTCACTTTCAGCAGTCCAGGCTCTGTGTTGTTCTGTGTTATTATTTAGCTCTAAATTAATCTTTAATATGGCTTCAAAGAGACCAGTGAATGGTGGAAGTTCTAGTATTGCTACATAAGCTAGACAGGGCTTACATGAGATGCATACACTAATATTCCCTCCCAAGTCCATTTTATTAAAGAAACTATTAATACATTTTATAAATTGCTTTATTCAATAAAAACCCATCAAATATTAAGACATTTAAATGTAAATCTATGGGTCTTAGTTTGCACTAAATTTATAATAGCAGCCACTTGGTAGTTCACTTTTAGGTGGGTTTGTCTTCATGATGGGCAGATTTTGGCTGTATTCTTTACTGTATTTTGCACATCACAGTTTTGGGGAAAATTATAATATTTTTTGTTACCAGGAACACATCTTCAAATTTTTGTCCAAAGTGTGTGGACTTTTTTTTTTACTGGTATTGTATATGTATTTCTAGTGTTGGTGGAGTAATTGAATTTTGTCATTAGATTTGCTGTAGTTTGGAAATTTCTGTGGTCCGTCACTGGTCAAGTCCCAAAGGTGCTGGATTAGAGGGACTCAACCTGTACAAATATAGACTTATGTACAGTATATTAAGGTATAGGTGCAGTCATTCCCTTGTTTTGGCATCACAAATTTTTTTTCTTAACATAAATATAACTAGAAATGTAAAAAAAAAAAAATAATATATCACTGTAGAGTAGTCAATTACTCATAGTAGAGGAATCAACCTGCTTCGTGATCACAGGAATATAAAATGTATCATGTTAGAAAAGACAGAAAAAGTAAAATTCTTTCTTTAACCCTAGAAAGGAACCATCATTAGAAGAGAGAACATTTTACCCATGCAATAAAAAAAATCCAACATCCCCTTGCCCTTGGGTAACATCTTTGTAATAATAAAAATACGAGAATTGTTTAATTTTTTGTTTATAGTAAATGTTGTAAAAACAAATTTGTGATCAGGAGAGATCATTTTAGTGAAGTATTGTACAGTACAGAAAATGCACAATATTTGCTTGTAAAAGTTAATTTTTCAAATGTAAACAACTTCCAAAAAGTAAGAGAACATTAGAAAATACTAACTCATGCACTATCATAAGAATTAAGAGAATTGATAGATTTAAGAATGAAGATAGGAGGCATGAGGGTCACAGAAATACAAAGAAATTTGGATGAAAGTTTATGGCACTAGTGTGAACATGAGTAGGTTACAGATTGGTGAAGATAATTTTAGTGAAGAATGACAGAAAACAACACCAGCAATGCAGAAGAATTGTGAATGAAAGAGTAAGAGGGTATACTGTACTGTAGAGATAGAAGTGTCACCAACTTTACAACTTTGTATTGCCGTTTATCAATCATTCTTTGTGTGCGTGCGTACGTGTGTGCATACTTGATGTGAAGTTGGTTGAAGAAAGCGGTCACAAATTGAACATGGTAGTGAGTCCATGAGTAGAAGAGAACAACTGGCCCTTCTGAATGCTCTATGAAAAGTCCCTTTAGGTGTTTTTCCACACTAATATTGTACTTATGAGTTACCAAGTAATGGCTGTCATTTGTAAATATTGTTTTATTTTTGTTCTTTTTTGTTGTATGCAATGCATGTATCCCTGTTTATTTTTCTTTCATTTAGTTGCTTTGTAAGTACTTGGAATTGCTTATTTTTTACATTTTATTGTTTTAAGTGTGAAATATTTAGAGCACTTGAGGTATTTGATATTGTATTGTCATTATAGTTAAGTGCTTTTATGATAAATATTGACTCATAAAGTGTATGATATTTGCCCTGTAATTATGATGCCTTAGATTTAGATTAAGTTCAGAGGTATCACTGAAATATGTATTTGAGTAATATAAAAATCATAGTTGGTTGTGGAATGTTGCTGTCCATTACCCCTGGGTGATGTTCCCTGCTAGAGATCAGTTGTATAGTATAAAATGTGGATATACTATCATTAAAAATGGTTGGCTACATACTGTACTCTTCACATTTTCAGGACTACCACGTAATTTTTATGTATGAACCTGATGACCGGTGTCTGGTGTTTGATCTTGACTCGGATCTACCATTCCCCACATACTTCCACAAGTATGTCACAGAGACACTTCGCACAGATCACATTCTTCGACCAGAGCATCACAGGTAAGTGTTAACCTTGTCAAACTTTTACCTTTTTTTTTATGGATTATGCAAGACTTACAAAACACAATTAATTTTAGAATACATGTACGTTTAATTTTCACTCTTTTTGCAGTATAATTTTAGGTAGAGTTTTCTTTCAGTACAGTATCTGTAGGTTTTTTGAGGTTGAGAGTAAGGCAGGGATGTAGCAGAAAATTAATTTAGGTGCAGACACACCAGTGCATTTGATGTACCACCAAACAGTGGTCCCTTGTGGTTAGAGGCAGCAAAAAGATACAGTAGAGTATTGGAGTCCTTTAGAATAGGTAAATTTAATGTGAGTTGAATAAGGGGAAATGATATTGTTTAAGATTTTGTAGATGGCAGATGAAATATACCGGTATTAGGAACTGAGAGAGAAGTCTGCTGGGAGGAGGAGTATGTGAGATTGATTTCATGTTGTGTGGGGATCCGTTGGGCAGAATCTAACTACAGTACATACTTTTATCATTGATTGGCAATGTTCTTTCATGTTTTATATGAATATAACTTAACCACAAAATACAGGACAAATTTGATTTTAAGAATGTTTGTCTCTATGATGGATCTGTTCTGGACAACAAATATTGTACAGTGTATAGACTTGTACTTCTCACTGGACTGAATTTTTAGATGCTTGGGAAAGACAGAATTTTGGCCAACTAAATATTTTTACTTTATATAAAATAGATTAAATCATACCAGCATTCTTACTGTGTGTTTCCTTTTGTATTTTTCTGTACAGTCACTGTTTGATGTTTCTTTTCAGGTATTTCCGTGTAGTACCAGCATCTGTATTCCTCCAAAAGTTTGCCAGTGATAGACGGCATATGAGACGTGATGATGGGACCTGGATGCATCCACCCCCACCATCCCAACCAATTGCAACACCAGGTTAGTTGTAATATTATTTTGGTGATAGTACAAATAATGCTTATATACAGTAATTACTCTCCCGGTATATTTTTTATCCCTGGTCAGCTTACTAGCTAGTCGGGCAGTTGGTCTGCTCTTTGTTATGCACTGTTGGCAAGTCCTGGGTATGTATGGGCTCCCAAAAGTGCTACCACAACATTCACTGGCACCTTATTCCAAGAGTTCAAACCCTTATTCCAGAGAACAGTTTTCTGTACTGGTGCCTGTAATTTGAGTCTTTGACCCCCTAGTGGCATTTCCATCTGCTACCTCCAGCAGTAATGTTCTTTGAGATGCTTGTAAACTCTTATTAAATTACTCCTTGCCCTATTGTATAAAGCAGGCAATTGGAGTTGTTTTAATTTCTCTTGGTATGTATGGTGCCTATATGCTGACACCAATTTAATGGCCCCCTTTGGATGTTCCCAATCAATTGGCAGTCTTTAGCAAATCTTAGGGACCAAACAAAATAACTATACTGTACTTCAATTGTGGGAACACCACACCTTTGAAAAGCCTAACGTGGGATGGACCTTCTAAGTATGTGTAAGAGTTTTGTATAAATCTTAATAGCTTATTAGCATGTTTCACCTCTCTTTGATCTGAGAAATTCAGTTTGTTGTCGGCATAAACTCCCAGATCCTTTTCACATTTGGTTTCAATTTATGGTGTATCTTAGGTGAATCCTCTTGCATTTCATAATGTTAAATCTTGGCTTTAATTCCTTTGACCAATCCTTATAAAGATCTTCCTATAATGATTCACATAGCAATAGGTTCTTAATTTCCTTGAATATCCTTGAATATCTTAGTATGGAAGAATGAATAGCTTATGGCATATCATTTATGAAACAAACAAACAAACATTAGTCCCAGCACACTGGCATACAAAATTTTCTGCCATTAATCACCACACACTGCTTGCAGTCATAAAGAAAGTCTCCAGATCACACCATGTGGAAAGAAAGAAAAAGAATCAGAAAATGTCCCTTTAAATATGTTACAGGTACTATACTCTACATTATTATTTATTTTATTTCAAGTATCAGTGTTCAGTGTGTTCCTGTAGACAATTTTTTTATGAAAATTTTTCTCAATTTCCAGAGTGTGTTCACAATCTTGATGACTTCATCAGCATGGATCCTAAGCGAGGTGTTGGCACTGTGTACAACCTTCAAGACTTCGTACGCAGATTCTACAAGAACATGTAAGGTGTCCACATATACACACAATTAACCTCTTCATGATGATATAAATGATGCTCAGTTCACAGAAACTCACTTTTGCCAAGGTTGGAATGCCTTTCATATCATTTATCACCATCAGCTTTAGTGAAAGAGTAATTTAGGTTCTTTATGTGGTATTATTAGCTTAATATAGTTCACTGATTTTATGATTTCATTTGTACTTACTTTAAAAATTGAAGTGCTTGTAATATGTTATAATCTATGTATGGAATTAGGTTTGATCTAGTGTCTACATTTTTATCAGAAACTTAATAGTTTTTTGGATTTAATATTAAGATATAAGGTTTTGATATTCATTGTACAAAATGGTTATCTTCTAAGAAATTTATATTATGGTGATTATTGCAAGTGAGGAACGTAGATGAATTTTCATATAGCTACAGTATTATCGGGGTTTAGAAAGTTACTTATTAATTGATTGCCTTCACAGGATGCATTGTATCTGCTATGGCAAACCTAGAAATATTTTATTCGTTTATTGAACTATGTCAATGATTTTACATACGGTATTGACACTAAAATTGTAATTGTATCAAAATGTAATTTAAGACCTCAGTGGTAAAGATGGAAGAATCAAATTAGAAATCTTCAGAAATATAAACAGATGAGTATGGAGGAATCTGCAGAGATGTAGATAGACAGTAAAATGGAAAGATTGAAGTACAGTACTGTATGTGGAGGAATTTATAGATATGTTGAGGAGGTTCAACATAAAATGGTCTGCAGTATAGACAAAAATAGACAAAAAACTCTTGGTATATATATATATATATATATATATACTGAAAAGTGTTTATATATATATATATATATATATATATATATATATACACTTTTCAGTATTTGATATATAACTGTTCAAAAATGATAGATGGATATACTATTTACTATCAGAAAGGTGGCTTCACTATTCACTATCAGATATATGGAAAACCATATACTACAGTACAGTACTATATTATCACACTGATAGGAATGTTTCATTATCATTTAGTAGATGAATATACTACTGTACTCACTTTCATACAATGGAAACCCTTTACTATCAAATAGAGGGGAAAGCTATTAACCATAAAGATGAAGACAATACTGTATTATCTTTCAGATAGATAGAACACTTCATTATCCAATAGCTAGATATTATTCACTTTCAGATGAATGTACATATTATTCACTGTTCAGAAAAGATGGATACACTATTTACTACTGTATTAGGTAGGTAGACACATTGTTCCCTATCAAAATGGTGGGAACACTTTACTATCAGATAGATGGGACATACAGCTAAATGTCTGGTCAATGGATATTCTCATTGTCAAAGAGATGGATATACTGTTCACTAACATATAAGTGGATACACTGTTCAGGATCAGATTGACAGATTTGCTGTGTACTATCCTATATATGGAACCAATCTTCACTGTCAAATAGATTGATGCACTTCGCTATCATAAAACCTTTGTTAGCTGATGCAACTACAGTTTGAACTTATGGGAGAAAATTTGTTTCTTTAATAATATATTACACTGCTCCCTCACTTAAGATGAGTATCTTAAATACAGATTCATCTGAATATTTTATTTTTTTAATTACTACCTGGTATCGCTTAACACGGGGCTAAGATTCGCTCGAACATGGATTGAGCCCGGCTAAAACGGGAAAATTCGGCTGAACGTGGTCAGTTAGAACACGTTTTGTGTGGGCCAGCTGGGAGTTGAGTCCACAGGTAGCATCCTCATGCTACCCACGCACACCATGTGGGCCCAGTGAGTTCAGTGTAATTTAGAATTAGAAAAAATATCTGTGGAGATGGCATGCTGCTATAAAATAAGAAAAATGAAGAGCATGGGTGTGTATTTGTGTGAAGTGAGCATATGTGTGGATGTGGCATGTCGCCATGTTAGACTGTCCCTGTCGCTACATCCCCCTAGCTCTCCCCCTACCAGGCTAGGCTGTTATTGTTATATTTCAACTCATAATTTTGGGTAGATATACAGTATGTTATTTAATTTTTATTTTATTTTTTTATTCTTTCACATGCACTCACAATCGTTCATACAGAATGTGCAAAGAAAATAAAAGACATAATTATCATAAGGTAAAAAAATAAAGGGAATAAATATTTCTTACATGCTCAGTTGCTAGCGCACAGATAGTGGGAAGAGGAGGGGTGAACTATGTTGGGGGTCTCGGCTGTTACAGTTTCCTGTGTCTCACTTGTAGTGAAACTATTGCCAACTGGCAATGCAGTATTTTTTTTTTTTTTTTTTTTAGTATAATTTTTATTTATTCCTCACATTTACTGGTATGCATCCTTTGCAATAACTGGGGTATTCCAGTAGAAGTGAACTACTGGAGAGCTGTACAATGTCTTCAAATTTTAGTTTTGGTGTGGGTGGACTTTTTTAGGTCTACCTGACACATCCCCTATCTCCACATGTTATAATGGGTTTGTTCTCCGTGGATTCGTTCTACACATCGTTTTCTGGGAACACAAGCCCTGCTTTCAGTGAGGGGTCATTGTACCTTAATATTGGACTGTATACATTTACTACATGGAAATATTGTGTTGTTGTTGTTGCTGTATCTGCAAATTTAAGATTTCAAGAATATAAAATAGACTAGACTAGAGGATATCAGTCAAAAATTACTTATTTTTTAACCTTTAGTTACTTTCATGTTTTCTTGTATTTTTCAAGGATTTTTAATCAGAATTATTAATAACTAAGTGCATTTGATTCTGGCCATACTGTGTTGTAGAGGGAAAAGTTTAATAGTGAAAAAAGTTACTAAGAAGTGCTTAATAATGTAAAATTTTTACGTGTATATGACTTTCTAATACTGGTAATCATCTACAAATCTTAAAAATTTACTAATGTTCCACCTCACAGGCATGGCTGAAAAGTGTGTAGGGTCATTTTCATTGGACTGCCTTTTATATTCTTTTGGACAACTTGATATTTGGGTCACTGGCTGGCTTTAAAACTTTATCATAAGAATAATAAATATAATTTGACATGTTGATATAAAATAATGAATTACATTCGTTGCTCAGACCAGTGAAAATCACAGGGTGGTATTAATGGAGGTATTCAACAAAAGCAGTTATTTAACATAAGTTACTGTTGTAGATCAGAATGATTAACAAATAGGCTTAAGCTACAATACTTCTTATAGAAAATACAAGTACTGTATTTTATATAGCAAAATTCATGGTTATTGATTCAGTGAGGTGTATTGAAAGTTACAACGAGTTATATACATCAAATAAGGTTAATGTAGTATTGATATAAATTGAAATTGAGTGCATTTAAAGAGAAGTTGTTAGTTCCTGATTGGTATAATTACATTTCTCTGCACTATTATATACAGCAATTTATGAATTAGAATTACAGGTGTATATGCTTGTGGGCATCAGCAAACCATCTTTGTGCTCTTGGCTGACATTGACTCCCATAGTATTTTACTCTACCTTTTGAGGTTTTTATTCTCGCACATCAAAAATTTTTGTGACCTGCACATCATTAACACTTCTTTATTTTTGTTTTATTTTTTATTTTTCCTTATCAATTTTGGTTGTATTCATAACTCTTACTACATGGGGAGGAATGGTAAAATTCTGATTGAAAAAAATATATACATTAACAGTTAATGAGAAAGTAAAGAAATGATATATGAGGAATGAGAAAGGGTTGTCCAGGTGTGTTGATGGTGAATGATTGGATTATAATTTGTTACCAATACAAAATGTAGCACCAAGAAAAAAGAGTTCTACTAATTTGGATTAATGTTTATAAATGAAACTTACTGAAAGTGGCACCCGTCATCACAAACAGTAGCTATTTATTGTGGATTTCATGTACATTTCTGCCAGTATTATACCTGGGAGGTTCATTTGTTACTGTAGTAAGTATAGACACCATTGCTTTTTCCCAAATTTTGTGTGGATACCACACAGTACAAAATGCAGAAACACATCAGTAATGGTTGTGGATTGAATGATATTTTAAGAAGGCAGGTATAGCTCATTGACTGGAAAAATTGTGTAAACAAAATTATGTAATGTATGGTAAATTGGGTAACTAGAAAAATATGTAGTGCACAGTATTACCTGGTATAAGAAAAGTCCATCAGTACTCCTAGAAAGTTTAGTGTAAATTGATTCTTTGTGATTATGTGGTAGATTATTTTTAAATAAAAGTTTAAAAACAAACACAGAGCCACTTCTACTACCGTACTCCAACTATTATCATCAAAAGCATTACCCCATGGAAAAGTTGCCCTTTAATGAATATCTGCTTGAAAAAAATACAGTACTATACGTGGTAATATACTGTATACATGTATATGCTATCCAATTTTGCTGTGTTCAATGACTTTCAAATAGATTTTTGAGATATTAAAAATTATACTAATTGGGAATTTATTTAATAAAAAAAGCATGATAAAGATTAGCATAAAATATGTAATACTGATTATTATGAAAATTATTGAGATATAAGACCTGTTACTGTGAAGTACAACAAATGAGATAATTGTACAAAAGTACTGTACTGAACTAGTCTCAGCATAAGTAAAGCTTGTAATTGTCTTAATACATATGGTAATAATATTTAGAAATTAACTTTTGGTCTCTGCATGCTCAAATTGTGACTTTTAAGAACAATTTAATAATAAAGTACAGTAGTTGAATATTTCTTAAACTTTTAACCAAATTTGGACTCTTTACCAGTATTATTTCTTTTGCATTTTTATGCTAAATTTAAATTAATATTTATGCTACAGACAACTATTTGTTTTAACTGAAGTGCACAAAAAGGATGTGGTTTGCCATTTTGGATAACAATGCTTCTTAGGTCTTTACAATATTGTAATAGTTTAACATTTATCTAAGTACATGTACCACAGAAAAGATATGATATAGGTAGTTGATTTTATTGATATTTTTTTAAATGTGTAGGTAATATTTTCAAAGGTGAGATAGCACAAAAAAGTTACTGTACTGTAGTGTTTTAAATACTTATTTGTAAATGGGGCCCTTATGATATATATATATATATATATATATATATATATATATATATATATATATATATATATATATATATATATATATATATATATATATATATATATATATATATATATATATATATATATATATATATATATATATATATGAAATATATGTCTGTATTCACACTTGGAAATGATTTTTAATATGATACTTTAATAGAAAGCTATAGAACAACATCTTAAATACTGCATGTGATTATTATATTTGAGAGATTTATTTGTACATATGGTATTTTATACACTTTCATGAGTGTTGATTTTGAGAAAATGGTTATTTATTATTTTATTTTTAGGGTAAATTGAATATAAAGAATAATAAAATGTACTCGGTACTATCAGCATGAGGTTGCAAAGGGAATTGAGTGAAGAGACTATACAGTCTCTTCACTCAAACCTTGTAACTGAGGTCTAGGGTCAGTTTGTAGCAAGGCAGCTGATTTGCTGGTAGATGGATGCAGACAAAGTATTTAATATTTCGTGTTTATAATATTATACTAGTGGGGAAGCAAAAATTAACATATGAAATGCTCTGATGATATAAATATCTTGAAGAGAACAAGAAAATAATTAAAAATTTTCAGTGACATCCTCCACCACACTGTGTGATGTCATGGGGCGAGGAAGAGTTTACATCTCAAAATTTGTTCATCATGTTCTTTTCAAAATATTTGCATTACCTGTGTTTCAGATGTTAATTTTTGCTTCATTAAGTGCAGAAATTATCAGAGATCAATAAAAAATAGTTTTTTTCCATTAAAATATCATAATATAAATACAATTGATTAAATACTGTACCAAAGATCTGTAGTACTTTTCCTCTGACTGTCCGACATCCAATCAGCTGCCTTCCAACAAACTGACCTTAGGCCTCAGTTGCAGGCTTAGAGTGAACAGACAATAGTATTATCTTTTTATTTTTTACTTTGCTGAAGTGAATTTAAGAAAATAGAGTTCATAATGTGATTTCATTTACCAGCTTCAGAAAAATGGTAACAGTGTTGTTATATGAAGTGAGCTTCAGATGTGCCAAGCTGCAAGTTGTATTTGGAGCTACATCATAATTGCAAAGTTGCAATGCTAAAAAATCTTATCAAGTACTTAAAATAATAGTTGGTAAAGGTATACTGTATGCATTATTACCTAGGAAACTATCTTAGTCCATGCATGTACTATAAATTTATAAGCTTTCATGCTGCCCTTTGATGGGCATTGAGACTACTCAGAGATATATTTTCAAACCATACCACTTAAATTGTTGATGTTAGTGTGTAATGTTTTATAGGTAATCTCCTCTGCTCTAATGATTGCATTTTTTCCACAAGATTATTTCAAATTTTCACAGCATGTTGTGCAACAGATATTTAGAGAAAAAATACTTCTCTTTAGCCAGTAACTCACTAGTGTTGTATTATACATTAGTAGAATTAAATATCAGTGTGACTTCACTTCTTCCAGTTAGCTGAATGGTCAATGATTTGTTAATTTTAACTCCCATCCAGATATAAATTTCATGATTACATATGTTGTGTTGAGCATTCGCAGGTGATAGGTTAATTTTGATGTATCCTTCTGTGACAACAGAAATTTTTATAATATGAATTATTTTTGCAATATCCAACAAGTTTTAAAGATAAAAAAAAAATATATATAGTATATATATATATATATATATATATATATGGTGGTAACAGAATATCAAAATAAGAAAGGAGCAGTACAGTATATAGTTAAACTACACTGATAGCAGTTTTGTTCTTTAGTTTGTGGAAGCAACTGCAAAATTAGAATAGTAAAATTTCCTGAAATAAGAAGAGAAAACAGAAACCTGAAGTGTGGTAAGAAAATATTCTCATGTCTCCTAAATCCATCCATTTTTTGTCAGTATTTATTCTATAAATGCCTGCAACTTTTTACTATAATGGAAGGTATGTTATTTGAGTTTTGAGGTGTCTGTAGGCTGATTAAAACATTTTATCATTCAAAATGCTTATTGTAAAGTTGCTGTTTCATGTGGTTTGTTGTTCACATTCTCAAGAAGTCTATCAAACTGAAATTAAGTTGTAGAAAGTGCATGTGGTAAATAGCATGTCTAACTTACCAGTACTGTAGTTATATACAGTAGAAGTCCAAAAATCCGGATGCCAGAAATCCGGACCACCTGAGAATCCGGACTTTTTGAAAACTCAATATTTTTAAATTTAGCGGGCTTTTGTGTGTGTGTGCGCATGCGTGAGCGCCACAGCTACACAGCGACAACAAGCGACCACGCGGTCACTATTTTAAAACGAGCAATCAAACTGTGACAATGTATGTAATATTGTGTCCTACTCTTTCCATTTACCATATACAGTATAGCATACGTATTTACAAGCCCATAATAATGGCTCCTAAAGTAGATAAACTTCGTTGTGTGAAGAGAAAGAAGAACGCATTGAAATTGAGTGACAAATTTGAAATAATTAAGAAACTAGAACGTGGTGTGAGCAATACTGATCTAATGGAAACATATGACATCGGAAAGTCTACAATTTACGATATAAAAAAGGCAAAGAATAAAATTCCAGAATTCGCAGCCTCGTCTCAGTATTTGCTAATGAATAGACTATCAAAATTTACCTGTTCATCTCTTCTTTATTCTTCCTTAAATTTGAATTTTAAAAGTACTGCCCGAGAATCCGGAAAATCCGAAAATCCGGACCTACCCAATCCCTGAGCAGTCCGGATTTTTGGACTTCTACTGTACAGTAGTTCTTTAATTAACTGGTCACCAAATTAGTGATGGGATGAAAGGAAACTCTTTATATGAGAAAGAAAGGAAACATTTATTATTGTTACAAGACAAGCAGTGTGGCACTGTACATCTCAAATAACATACTTCTTTTGCTACATAGAATGATGCAGTTCTTTGCTGCCTGGCTGAAGATAAAATAATTTTATTTATTTATTTATTTTTTTTAAATGATGCATGGATGGTTTGGGAACCACAAAATTATCATACCAGTAAATGCATCTGAATAAGCCATTAGGAAATTCTTCCATTAGTCATCAGTTTTAGTGTAGTTAGGATACAAGTATTTTCTAGAAGTGTTAGCTAGATTTGAAATTTTTTACCCACCAGTGGTAGTCTGCTAAACCCCAGGCTTTAAATTTTCAGGTCATTTTAATATTGTTATTGTAAATATAGCTCTTTTAATATACATGTGTGTTTAATGCAGTCACTTTACATAAATTTGTAATGCAATCATTATAAAAAGAGACATCTTCAACTATAAATTACTATTACAATTAAAAATGTGAAGCTCTTTGGTACATCATTCTCTCTCTCTCTCTCTCTCTCTCTCTCTCTCTCTCTCTGTTTTATTTTAACTCGTATGAGTTAAATTTTTAAGCACTGTTTCCATTTTTTAGTTACCCAAGTTATTTATTTAATTTATAATTTAAACCCTAATAAAGCCTATGTGATAATTC